ATGGCATAATTTTACCAATACTTTTCTGTAAATTGTTGTTTGAATGGAAAGATAAATGACAGCCTAGTGAACATATGTACTGTATTTGTTTGTTATAACAATAAATCCATATAAAATGGAATTAACATTATTAACATTCTGTCTTTTTGTTTAGACTCAGACCAAAACCATTGTTTGTTACAGATGAGGGACATTTCAAAATAGTCTGAAATGCAGAATGTCATTAAATCTGTTTGATTTGCTCACACCATTACTTTATGTGGCACAACTAACATGAACTGATGGTCGAAAGGAAATGTAGGTACCTCAGCTTTAATTTAGCGAGTGCGCTTTGGGAGAAGACACGGAGGAGACTGAGGCTCCGCAGTCCAGCTTCAGCGCTGTACATATTGTGTGCATCGGTTACGCAAAGACACGTAAGCACACAAGAGAATAGTTCTGTAATAGTTCTGTGCGTGGTCTTGGATATGATCCCATTACGCAGCGCCGTTCGCCGTGATCACAGCCGCTGGAAGTGGGAACTGTCCAGAGCGCTGTGGCGTCCGCAGCTCATCATGCAGAGTTCATACAGGAAACTACAAGTGCCCCGCGGTCACGCATGTATTCTTTCAAAACTTGAATTCCCAGAGCGCCTACCTGCTCTGTCCCCATCTTACACACGTGCATGTGTCCGCGGCATTCTGAGTGTTATTATGGGACACATGGGCATGCGTCAAATGCGTTAATTTTTTTAACGCAATTAATGAAAAAAATTAATTAACGTGCGTTAACGCGATAATTTTGACAGCCCTAATTTTCATAACTGTTAAAACCAAGTTAGAGAGAAAGATAGCTTAGAAAGATAGACTCATAGTCCTGCTAGTGTTTTAGGAAAGTTCTCATTTGGGGTCAGTGATCATAGTTTCAGATTAAAGGAATAATAAATTGCTCTGTTGTTTTACATAATTTAAAAAAAACACATTCAAACCAATGAAAGGTTGAAATATACAATAATTTAAACTATTTGAACATTTCTTAAATAATGCAGCCGTCTTTATCAGAATCTCTTGGCTTGTGCCTCAGCGTGTAGTCCAAACGAGTAGAATTATACCACATTGTTATGACGACTGTTTGATTAGGGTTAGGGATTATTCATCTTGACTTTGGTGGATTTTGAATGTCTTGAAATTATTTTTGCTGAAACAAAATTACATTTTAAACAGTATATGGGACTTGCACTATAAAATCCATGTTTTAGCTTTTTGTAGTTTAATAAAAATCACAGCACAGAAGAATGGTCACGATTAACTGCATGATCACAACAGCCCACTTCAGATAAACTGGAAAACGTAAACGTAAACACAGGTGGACCGTTCTGTAGGAGTATAATACATGTAGAGGTGGGCGATATGGGCAAATATAAATCTCAATTTTTTTCCCAACTTCTGATAATGATATTGTCACGATATCTTTAAAATCAGTCATTTTTGCACAAAATGCTCTGCAATGTTTTGCTTGTCAGGGCATCTATATATGAAGACAATGTGGATCAAAACAGCAGCTTTTTATTTGTTAAGAGCTTCACACGTCTTTGCAAAACATGCACAAACATATATTAATATTTAAAATCCAATTCAAGTAACACGGGAAGAACACATCCAAAAAGGCTCAATATTTTCTGAAATGCGGTGATTGGCTTTTTAGGCACGGTTTGACGAATGGGGAACTTGCCTGCTCTAATTGGAATATGTCAAAAAACAAAATCACTAATATCCTTCTCCCATTGCCTCAGACCCTGACCGAGACTTTGATCACTCTGGTCAATTACTACATCCGCTTTTGCAGAGGGACCTTTCGAAAGAGTCTTTTCTTTGACTTACTACTCAAACTTTCAAATTCTCAATAAAATGTGTTTATTTTGATGATCTGATTTTCACACAGGCTCAACTGCATGTATTTGATTACATTTCTCCAGTGCAATTTATCACGCCATGATTTCGGTGATGCAATGTTATGAAAACAATGATCAAAACGAGTGAATTCCCTACATTCTATAAATAAGGGATGTCCACGCTTCAAACCAAGATCTAATTTTACAACAACCATTGAGCCGTGATCAAACTCAGATTCAGAATATCACATTTGGTTCGACTCATGATGCAGATGTGATTCATGAGCAAGTATTGATCATGTTGTCGTCATTCACATTTTTGTTGGCAGGAAGGAAATACGTATTGGCTTTAGCGATCAGTCTTAACATTAATTAATACAAGTACACATACATTTGCCCCAAATTAGCAAACAAAAATAACAGTATATAACAGTGGAGTCGTGGAAAATTAGTCATTATTTTAATGTATTAATTGGGGTCAATCTGGCTCGCCTTACCACACTTCCATGAAAATGCAGTAGCAAAGCCAAAACAGAGTTATTTTTAGTAAAAGTAGAGTGTGTCATTATGGACCAACCTGATCATTCTACCATCTCTGGTTTGAGACAAACTGAAGGGTGTCTGTCTGACCTGGTTGATGACGTAGACGCCGTAGTCCAGCTGCTGTCTCTGCAGAATGGGGTGCAGGTAGTACAGCCAGTACTTGAGGTGCTCTTCTCGCTTCCTGAAGGGGATGATGAGGGCCACTTTCTGCAGGGCCAGGCAGTCTGGGGGTTTGAAACGGCCCCCACTGCTGAGGTTGGGGTTTTCCTTCTTCACCAGCTCCAGAGTCGGACTAGGATGTGTGAACTCCACCCTCAAAGGGCCCACTGTAAACGACACACAAGAGGACGAGTCAATGTGAGAAAGGCCTTAACAATTATTTAGACAAACAAGACATTAAAGGAGTCGAATCAAGATTATGTTTGCTATGTAGTGTAGATTTTTGCCTTGGATCTTGTTCTTTGGATTATATAGTTTGCGATCTGAAGTCAAGGTACTGTGGCTGTAATGTGTAAGATGGACAAAGTAGCAGAGGAAAATAATCAATTATGCAAGGAAAACCAGACTGGATACTGAGTTGAAGGAAGTCTTTAAGTGCACATAGTGACTACAGACATCAGTCTGGCTCAGCACAGGCGACCTGTCTGACCTTTTATTATTGCAGAAGTTCCTTATATATTCTCTACAAGTACAAGGGAGAAAAAGTTATTTTAACTTAACTTTATTTCTGATAAACCAGCTCGACTTGCCCTCAGCTTCAGCATGGCTTCAGTGAATGTTTTTTTGCACCATGAGATGAGCGAGTTCTAACACAAAAATATACGCTTACACTACCCAATAATGAGTATGCAAATGTAGATGTAATGATTATATCTGGATAAGCTTCATTAAGTCTTAGTGCTTGACTCCACCGGCCGTCAGCAGCCTACGCGCGTCAGACGCCCGTAAAACGGAATAGTGGCCAAACCGGCTTCAGCAGCGCAGCTCTGGCTGTGCGTTTATCAGCACTGTGGGGCTTTGTTTTAAATAGAAGAAGCAGCGTGTGATTTGCATGAGCTGTGGCTATGATCTATGGCACGGCATATTGAAGCATCGAGGACGGATGAGGTAAAACTTATTGAGAGCAATTGGAAAAAGGGGAGAGAGAAAAGAAATCCAACATATCCAGGCTTTTTTGAAAGGGAGTCAATATTAACATAACGCAAAAAATTAATGGTAGATTTGCAATCATGAAACAATCATTTCAATTTAATACATGAAAATAAATTACACACATTTGTTATTAATCATTGTCATTAACAAACACTTATAACCAAGGACTACAGCATATATCAATACATGTATAATCATGTGGTATATATATATATTTTACATTGTATTTCCAATGGAAAACGGACCAGACATGCGTCGACGTACGTAAAAAATAGGATTCTTTCTATTTCGTCCGTCCGCATCCGTTGCACCCTGCGTGGTCGGACTGCTCCCTACGTTATACAAATGCATGTCGCGAGCAGTCGAGCCACTTCCAATAGCCCTCATGGAGAAAACGGAAACGGAGATGAAACGGACACGTTTGGACGGATACGTAGTACGTTTTACGCAGCTGGAGGAGGTGGGGCCTTACATCTGACCAAATCAGCCCACACGGACCATGAGGACAAACATATCTGACCTTTGCTTGTATACCATCCTCTACACTCAAGCCCTCCTCCCTCCGTCCTGTCTCTTAGCGCGGTGTCCTCTGCAGCTGTATTTTATAGTGTATGCATGGCTTTTGACAGATGCAGCAGCGTCATGTTTGATATCTTTGTGTTCACATTACAGTAGATGTAAGCTCAGGTGGTTAGAAAAGTATATTAAATGATGTCATCCGTATTGTCGGCCCCTGGACAAGTATGGTGACGTTCTAGAGGCCCTCTCGCTAGAACGTTTGGACCGCCCTTCTCTGAGCCCCTGGGACAGGGGTCTGCAATCTTTGTTATCATTCTGCACCCTTTTGGCCAATGTAAAAATGTCTGGAGCCGCAATATAACACAACTTTTAAAGATGTATGTAATTTACCAGTTACACCAAACTTAAAGCTTGAGAACATCCATCCATCCATTTTCTACCCTTTGATCCATTTCTGGGTCAGGGGGGTGGCAATCAGAGATGCCACCCAAGTCTCATAGCACCAGCCCCTCACTGACCCTCTGCAGGTGGTGAGTCCACAGGAGGACGGCTGATCTTTCAGTGGGGGCTTTGGGCAAAGTGGGGTTAAGTGTCTTGCCCAAGGACACAACGACAGCAGTCATCAGTGGGAGTCGGTGGAGAAGGTGTAGAGGTGGGAATTGAACCCACGACCTTCAGGCCTGAAGGCCAATGCTCTACCAACTGAGCTACTGTCGCCCTTGAGAACATATAACTCTCAAACCAAATACCTTTAACAATGTAATAATGTGTTTAGTACTTTCCTGATTCTGAAACTGAATTAACCAAAAATCTAAATTTCATAGTCAGATTTTAATGTAATGAAAAGCAACCATAACTTTTCTCGTCATGGATCAACACTATGAAAAAAATGTTTTGTGGAAGCAAGTCAATTTGACAAACATTTGCGGGGCAAGGACACATTTGTGCAATGCAACCTTGCCATATTTATTGTGTAAATACTGTGGTTTTTAGCAGTAATAATTCACTGGTATGTTGCTTTGTATTCTGGAACACACACTTTAATGGAACATTGCAAAATTAAGGCATAATCTTGGGTTGAAATAGAGCAGATAATGAGTTTGTCCTATTGTCAGTGTCCTGTGTGTTTGTGTCCAACAGCTGTGAGCCCAAGACAAATGACCCTTGGGACGATTAGGTTGAACCTTGACCGGTCCAAAGGTTTCCTGTTTTCATCACAATAATAAAACATTTTAAATAACTAGTTTACTAACACACGATGTTGAGAGGTACACTGGATGAAACACTTTGGGCCAGACAGAGACCATAGGAGACCATGTGGACCATGTGGACCAGCCACTCACCCAGCAGCGGGGACGTCTCCGGACACTTGCCCAACTTTCTCTCGGGCTCCTGCTGCTTATTCTCCGACTCTTTCACCACAGCCTGGGCCTGGCTCTGCTGCCCCTCCTCCCCACCGGCCCTTCTCTCCTCATCACCCCGACTTTCACTCGCCCTTTCCCCGTTGACAGCAGCGGTCTGCTCGCTGGGGCTGGAGCGGTTGTTTGAGGCGAAGAATCTGGGGTTCTGCTGCTGGTTTTGGACGAAAGCGATGGACGAGTCAGAAGAACGCATGTAGAAGAATAAAGTTACGAAGATGTGGAGGACGCAGAGCAGAACCACGACTTTACAAGTCTTATGGAGAAAGTTAAAGTTGACAGCAGCGTCCGCAGCCATTTTGCTCCGAGTGACAGGAAGCAGATGAGGGAGTTTGTTGGCCCCGAAGAGCCACGAAAACTACCGCTATCTTCGGCGGAGCTCCATGACATGACCCGGGCAGAGGGCTGAGGGCAGAGGGCTGGGGGCAGAGGGAGGTCCGGGGCAGTCTTCAAGGATCAGACAAAGTTCCTCTGAGTTTCTGTAAGTGGATATCCCTCCTGAGTGACGAAGTGACGCGCCTTACGTCTGATCATATGTGTTCGGGACTTCCTCTTCTTCGAATGCTTTGCGGCAGACTGTACAACTCGACTTGACAACACTGCCCCCTACTCGTGAGGCAGATATCGCATCTTCCATTCTCTGCACAGTTGAATCTCATGAATACATGTAATTAATAGTTACCTAATGTAACTTAAGTTCTACGAATAGGTGCGTAGTCCCTTAGGACTTCGCTAGTGGGATATCACGTGACCCCCAGGTCACAGACGCCAGAGAGATCAAAATAATTTGCTCCAATCACCAGCCACCTTCCTCTATAAATGCCCCTGCACAAGGCCGCACCCCCTCTTGAACTCTGCCAAGCCGGGCTGGCCTGATGGGCTCGTAGCTAAGGGACTACGCACCTATTCGTAGAACTTAAGTTACATTAGGTAACTATTAATTCTACGTCATGGTGCTACGTCCCTTAGGACTTCGCTAGTGGGACACAACGCGGAGGCCGTAGGAACATGTACTCCCAGCAGGCCAGCGAAGGGTGATTGGAGCTCCGCCCGAGCAAGACCCTCACACCGTGAGAGGACTCAGGGCAGAAGAAACAAAGCGTGTTACCGGGCCACTCCTACCAAGGACGCCCCCACGTAACACCAATCGTAGGTCAACCGTAGTCACAGGACGCCTCTCCCAAGAGCTCCTGATGTAGACTACCAGACCGATCAAACACACATATATGTACCGCACCTGTAGGATGCCTCTCCCAAGAGCTCCTGCACCAGGGCGGAAAAATAGACCGAAGGCCCACTCCTCAGGGGAGGGACCCAACGGTCCAACTCAATCCGCTGCACTCAGCACGGAATGGGCCACCGACCGGTCCGACACATCCGAAAGATAAGACCGGACGAAAGAGGAGGACGACGCCCAAGAAGCCGCACGGCAAACGTCCTCGACCGACGCCCCCCTGAGAAGGGCCGTAGAGGCCGCCATCCCACGCGTGGAATGCGACCTGAAACCCACCGGGGGGGCCAGGCCCTGCGCCTGATACGCCCGTCGCACCGCCGTGGCGACCCAATGCGCCAGCCGCTGAGCCGACAGCGGGGCGCCCCTGTTCTTGGGGCCCAGACACACAAACAGCTGATCACCCGACCTGAATGACGACGTCATGGCCAGGTAATGCCTCAGCATTCTGATAGGACACAGAAGGTGCTGCCGCTCCTCCTCGGGGGAGGCATGCGGCGGCGGGTGGAAAGCCCTAATCCTGATCACTCTCGACCTAAAGGCCGACGTGATGACCTTGGGGAGAAAAGCCGGATTGGGCCACAACTCCACCATGCCGTCGTCCTCTCCAAAGGACAGGCACGACGCATGGACTGAGAGCGCACACAAATCGCCCGCCCTTTTTGCAGACGCCAACGCCAGCAAGAGGGCCGTCTTAAAAGCGATACAATCGGGACTCGCCTCCGCCGCCGGTTCAAAAGGCGAACCCGACAGCCCCCTAAGGACCACCCTGAGGTCCCAAACCGGAGGCGTTCTCTGGAGCGGGGGCCTCCTCCTGCGCGCCCCCCGCAGAAAACGTTTAATCAACGGGTGAGAGCGGGCTGTGAACCCCCCGAACCCGTCGTGACCTGAAGTAATGGCTGCCGCAAACACCGCCAAGGTAGCGACAGCCCTCCCCTTGTCGAAAAGCTCCTGTAGGAATCCCAGGACCCCCTCCAGCGGGCAAAACCTGGGATCCCAGGAACGGGAATCGCACCAGGCACTGAATAGCCTCCACCTCGTGGCGTAGGCCCTCACGGTGGACGGCGCCCTCGCTCCCTGAATTGTCTCCACCACCGCAGGGGGAAGACCCAGATCTACGAGGCTCCGCCTCTCAACCTCCAAACCCAGAGCCTGCGGCCGATTATCGGACGTGAAAACAGGGCTCCTGCCCCCTGGACTAGAGCCCCCGGCTCGTCCGGGAGGGCCCAGGGCTCCATCACCGCCATGCCCCTCAGGAAGGGGAACCACCGGGCATGCGGGCTGTCCGGAGCCACCAGAATCACCGACCTCCTCTCCTGTTCGATCCTCCGCAGTAGGACCGGCAGGAGACGCACCGGTGGAAAAGCGTACAACAGGCCGCCTGGCCATGGGTAATGAGCCAGAGCGTCCACGCCTAAAGGCGGCTCGTCCGCGGCCCTTAAGGCGAACCAGGACGGGCACTGTGCGTTCTCTGCACTGGCGAAAAGGTCGACTACTGGACGACCGAACCTCCGCCAGATCTCCGCGGCTACCCGTGGGGCCAGGCCCCACTCGTCCTGGAGTGGGCCCCCCCTGGACATCCTGTCGGCTCCCACGTTCCGGACCCCCGGGACGTGGCGCGCCCTGAGAGACAGGAGGTGAAGCGCCGCCCACAGCAGCGTCACCGTCGCCATGCGATGGAGAGCGGGGGACCTGGTGCCCCCCTGCCTGTTCAGATAGGAGACCACTGTGGTGTTGTCTGAGCGCACCATCACGTGTCTCCCCTGCAGCTGAGGGGCAAAGTGCAGCAGTACTCTGTGCACTGCCTCCATCTCCAGCAGGTTGATGTGACGGGCTGAGTCCGACCAGCAGCCTCCTACAGAGCTCTGGCCGAGGACCCCGCCCCATCCTTCGAGCGACGCGTCCGTGAACACCTCGGCGTGAGACACCGCGCAGGCCAGAGTCACTCCGTCCCGCAGTAGACCCGGAGTGAGCCAGAACCTGATGTCCGATGCTGCCCCTTGGGGAACCCAGATCAGCCTCCCCCCGTCCCGGGAGGGGTGAAGCCTGAGGCGCGAGAACCACCTCTGAAAATTTCTCATGTGGAGCAGGCCTAGCCGCACCACAGCATGAGCCGCTGCCATCATCCCCAGCAGGGACCTGAGGCGCCGAGCGGGAACTCTGGGGCCCGCCAGAACCTCCCGGGCCAGACGGGTAATATTCGTCCGTCTGTCCACGGACAATGCAGCACGGAATATCACAGAGTCTAGCTGCAGACCGAGGTAAATCATGCGTTGGGCTGGCTGCAGCTTGCTCTTCTCCCTGTTCACCACAAAGCCCAGACGCTGTATGTGGGACAAGACCCATTGCGTGTGGCTCACGGCCACTTCCCTGGATGGGGCCAGTATTAACCAATCGTCTATATAGGTCAATATTCTTACCCCGGCACGTCTGATCGGCTCCAGAGCCGCTTCCACACATTTGGAAAAAGTGCGAGGCGCGAGAGCGTACCCGAAAGGGAGACGGCAGTACTCGTAATTCCTCTCTCCCACTGCGAAGCGCAGAAATCTCCTGTGTTCTGGCACTATGGGTACGTGGAAGTATGCGTCTGTCAGGTCTATGGATGTCATCCAGTCTCCTTCCCTGACACACTCGAGGAGCTGCCTTGTGGACAGCATCCGAAACTGCCGTTTGGAAATGCACTCGTTTAACACGCGCAGATCCAGAATGGGACGCACCCCGCCTGATTTCTTTGGCACCAGAAAGTAAGGGGAGTACAGCCCCCTGGTGGCGTCCTGCGGGTCTACCTCCACTGCTGCGCCTCGACTCAGCAGGGAGGAGACCTCTGCTTCCAGTGCCTCTGTCGATCCCCGTACCTGAGAGCGTACTGCCCGTACGCCTCGGAATGGTGGTGGCTTTCGGAAAAATTGCAGAGCGTAACCTCTGCGCAGAGTTTTCTCCAGCCAAACATCTGACAGTAAGCCCTGCTCCTTCCAGATGTCGTAGAAATCTGTGAGGGGCGGAACGGGAGCTGGAACACGAGACGTCATGGCCCCGCCCCCTCCTGGTGTTCCTAGCAGGGAGGGGGGGTGGCTGAAAGGGCCGGGGGGGCCCCTGCGTCACACCGTGAGCGCCGAGGGCGGTCACGTGTTCTGCAGGTCCGACGTCATAAGTACGGGACTGCTCACCACACGTGACCCGGCTGCTGCTGCGCCCCCCCCTGGCTCTTGCCTCATGGAGGGGGGGGCGAGCCCCTGCATCGGGAAACCCCGTGTTAGCATTGTAGCTCTGCTCATCACGCGTGACACGGCTGCTGCGCCCCCCCTTGGCTCTTGCCTCATGGAGGGGGGGAAGAGCCCCTGGATTAGGAAACCCCGTGTTAGCAATGTAGCTCTGCTCATCACGCGTGACACGGCTGCTGCGCCCCCCCTTGGCTCTTGCCTCATGGAGGGGGGGGAGAGCCCCTGGATTGGGAAACCCCGTGTTAGCCTTGTAGCTCAGAGATGCTAACACGCTAGCGCCCGGAGCACACACATTAGCACTTATCAGATCCCTCCGCCTGCCCTCTCTCCGGGAGGGCAAAACATGAACCCGTGAATCGGAGCTCGTGGTCTGCACAGCGCGCTGCACGCCCTTCTCTGGGGGCTGCAGGCCTGGCGGAGCCACGTTATATGCTCGAGAAGTAACACAAACAGAATTCAAATCATTTGACATGTTACATACCCCCAAATGAGACTCAGACAGCGAGTACTGGTGAAATGCCGGACGGCCTTTATTGAAAGAGTTTTTACCACCCCGACCTCCTCTACCGTAGGGAGGCCGTCGATGGGTGTGTTGGTCCCGCGAACCTCCCGTGTGCCTGTCTGGGCCCGGGGGTCTCGCCGCTGGGGAACGATGGACCACGGAGCGTGGATATGGTCCGGGGCGCTTGCCAGGCGAGCGCTCCCTGCCTCTGTCTCGGCTCCGCGCTGGTGGGCGGGCCTCGCGTCTCGTAGCTAGGTGTTTTGCCAGGCTAGCCGAGTCCTTAGCCGCGCTGTCCAGCCTCGTCATCAGCGTCTGCATCTCCGGACCGAAGAGCGACGTCTGGGAGATGGGCAGGTCCAGCAGCTGCCTCTTCTCCGCCTCTCTGAGGTTCACCGCCCCCAGCCAGAGGTGTCTGGCCCCGACCTGGGCTGCTGCCATAGAGCGGCCGCCATCGACAGCTAGCGCTTGGCACATGCGCAAGATCGCTGCTGAAGTGGTCCTCGCCTGGGCTAAGGTGTCTCCACTGAGTGCCTGGTCAGAGGAGAGAGACCTATTCAGGGCCCCGGTGATGAAAGCCATGTTGTTCGCCACCGCGACGACCTGAGCCGCATTGGCGTAACATCTGTCATGCATAGCCAGAGACATCCTATCCCGCTCGGAGGGAAGGAGAGGTCTGGTGCTGGGCCACACGGATGAGGAGGGGTGCAGGGCCGCCCGAACCGAGTCCTCGATGTCCGGGACCCCGCCTGTCCAGGACCAGTCCTGCACGTTGCAGTACATGCCATACCCCAAAGCGGGCCTCTTGGCCGCTAGGGGTTTTGGCCACTCACGTGTCGCGTAATGGACGATCGGGTCCATACGCGGGCACAACGTGGGCTGGGCTCTCCTCCTCCCTCGAGGGGCTGCGTACCCAGAGGTGAAGTCCTCCACCCTCTGGTTCGGTTGCGGTGGCAGGGGGGCATCCATGATGGCCGCCGCCGTGGCGTAGAGCCCAGGCATGTGGTCCAGCGGGAAGCGGTCCGGCTCCGGGTTGGACACCACCTCGTCCAGCGTGAGGAGAGAGCCGACCTCCGACACCTCTCCGTCCTCGCAGTCACCCCACTCCGCGGGCACAGGTGGAATGTCGAGGGGGGCCCAGTCAATCTCAGACTCCTCGTCCTTAGAGGAGTCCGGACGGGGCGCTGAAGCGGCGAAGAACGCGCGCCTGCGTTCACTCTCCTCCCTGGGGAGAGCGACACACGAGGCGCAGGTGGCGCTCAACGCCGCATGGCCCGCACCCAGGCACATGAAGCAGCTGGAGTGCTGGTCCTTGCGTTGGAGCTTGCCCCGACAGGTCGAGCAACGACGACGTCCGACGCCGGATGGCGAAGGGGAACTCGGACGTGCATCAGAAGACATCTTTCTTTCTCAGGTAACGAATGTAGATCTCAAACGGCGCCAGAGTGAAAGAGGGGGTGCGGCCTTGTGCAGGGGCATTTATAGAGGAAGGTGGCTGGTGATTGGAGCAAATTATTTTGATCTCTCTGGCGTCTGTGACCTGGGGGTCACGTGATATCCCACTAGCGAAGTCCTAAGGGACGTAGCACCATGACGTAGAACTTTTCCTCTTGAAGCTTTAGACCTCTTTCAGTCACCCACACTCAAACCAAAAGTCAAATCCAAATGTTCTTTGTTGGTTGCTGATTGTGTTGTGATTTTGAAGTTTTTGGAGAAAACTTCCATACTATTGAACAATATGGTAGAAAATTCAAGTCAAATAAATTATTATTATTTTTATTATTATTTTATTATCAGATTATTTTTTTTACATGCATGATCAGGACATGTTTTTACGTTCCGTATATTTGCGTTGATGTACCTCAAAACAACGTTGGAACACGGCGAAAAGAGAGAAAGGCGATTTAGCAGTGTGGCACTGGACTTGGGAGCAGTCAGACCAGAGGAAGGGTAGTGTCTCCCTCTCTGGTCCCTCTCTCTGGTCCCTCTCTCTGCTACCCTTCTCTGGTCCTTCTCTCTTGTTTCTCTCTCTGTGATATCTCTCTGCTTTCTCTTGCCTCATACTGTCTGGCCACTTTCTGGTCCATTTCAGATCTCTCTGGTCTCACATATATGTTATTTTCTGGTCCCACATATATGTATCTCATCTGTGTCCTCACGTCCCGTTCTGTGCAGCGATGACAGTGGCACAAATAAAGGTTATTTCTTATTTCTTTATTGATGTTATTTACAACAGAACTCACAGTAAAAACCACTCCAGGTTTCCATGGTAACAGGCTTCTATGGTGATATTCCAGACCATTTGCGGTTTCCATGGTAACGACCATCTAAGCTTTGTGATATCACATTCTATTCCAAATATGAAACAGCTAATAGGCTGGAGCAGGACGGGTCAGAGCAGCAGAGGTGGAGCAGGACATTAGTTCATGTAGGTCTGGGTCTGTCAAGTCAGACATGGAGTAACTGACTCCGAAACACACACAAAGATGAGTTTGGACGATAACATGGCCCACCAACACCCGTGTGCCTGTTGTGCGCTCCTGGTAGACTGCAAAGTCAAAAACCAGGAGTTGCAGGCCTTCATTGCTAAGCGAGAATGGGGGATGGAGCAGGACCTCACCCGGTATCAGTACAGGGATTCCTTTAAGCGAAACCGTCTCAAAGAGATAGAAGAGCTAAAGGCTACAGCTGCGAGCCAGAAGGCCAATCTGACCAGTCAGATTGAAGAACTGAAGAAGGATCTGAAAGAAAAGACCTGTCAGTTGAATGAAGCGCAAAAACAGCTAAAGCTCGCTCAAGACGACGACGTCTGTGCCAAGCTGCGCAGAGATCTGAGGATGGCCGAGGTCAGAGAGAAGGACTCAACCCAAGCCAGAATATCTGAGCACCGAGGGTTTGAAGAGCAGCTTAGAAGAGCTCAAGAAGACCTGACAACTAAAGACAAAGAGATCCTGGCTCTCCATAAAGCCAAGAATGAGTTCCTGTGTCGGTTGACAGATGAAGGTGAGGGTCCCGTTCATGCCAGGACCTGTGTGAGCAGAGGCGGCTGACTGCAGACTCCTCACAAGCGACGACAAACGTGAGGATGCCGTTCCAGGTGATTGAAGAGGAGAAGCAGCGCCGTAAAGAGAAATCCATTCGCAACGTCTTGTGTTGCTTCCGCCAGTCACATTTAGAGACTGTGTCTGAGGAGGAGGTGAGTGCACAGAACCTGCGTAAGAAGAAGGGGCAGCTCATAAGGACAGGCGCTTTTAAACAGGCGAAGACTGCAGACTCCTCACAAGCGACGACAGACGTGAGGATGCCGTTCCAGGTGACTGAAGAGAAGAAGCAACGCAAAGGCTTGGGTTGCTTCAGTTGGATATGGAGAAGGAAGTAAGGCGTTTACTTCCAACAGGAGGGTTGTGGCGGCTGCATGGTTAGCAACCATGAGTCTGCTAACCATGCAGACTCATGGTTAGCATGAGTCTGCATGGGTGGGAGGTTATTGTGGCTGTGTTTATTCTGAGCTAAAATAAGACGTTTTTGAATTTAAGGACCACTTAAATTAAAAAAACGCAAGGAGTCTTAACATTACTAACTCAGAATAAACACAACCACAATCAGAATCACTCTACACTTTAGTGCACACTAAAGTATAGAGTGATACTGATTGTGCACACTTCCGAGGGCACACTTTAGTGCACAAACTAAAGTGTGCCCTCGGACCTCCCATCCGAGGCCCAGTGTGGCAAGGCACAGTACGACGAGGCCCAGTGCCAGCGAGGCCCAGTACGGTTGAGGCCCAGTGCGGCGAGGCCCAATACAGCAAGGCCGAGCTGCGACCCTAACACTGCATAGTACCTCCTGTTCTACGTCACAGCTGCTTCTTCGCAAGAGGGTTCTGAGTTGGAATCCCTGTCGGATCCGGGCCTTACTGAGTGGAGGTTGCGTAGCTTTCCTTCGATTTCCACCACCACTAAAAACGTACGATAGGTCCGTTCTCTCTGGGGCCAGGACTTCTCTGAAAAAGAAATGCCAAGCTCTCAGTGGGAATATCCTGGTTAAATAAACACCTTAACGTTGAGCTCTCCTGTTACTGAGAGTCTGTCAGCAAATGGGGACATGACGGGGGTTGTAATTTTGGGTTTGGGTTGACCACAATAAACTTGAAGAAGATGCAAACCAGCAGAATGGACTGAGGAGTCTGTTTTGCTGTTTGTGCTTCTTGAGATTTGAGGTGGCCAACACAAACTCTGGAGATGTCGCTTTAATGATTCTACTCAAAGTGGCCTCCAACATGTGTCTCTCAGCTCAGACCGTGTTGAAGATCAGGGAGGTGCGATGGGATTAGAAGGAGCTGTGTGGAGTTTAAATGCTAACAAATTAAGACACAAATGTCACTTTTAATGCAAATTGAGGCAAGATGGTTCCATGTGTGGGTTTTAGGAGTAAATTTTTGGTTTAGCAGGGCAGCAGCCTGAGCAGAGACGCCCAGACTTCCTCCACACACTTCCTCCAGCTACGCCTGGGGGACCCCAAGGCGCTCCCTGGAGGGAGACACCGGACCATGCCTTGCGACAAGTTTAAGTGCAAAGTCAAAGTCAACTTTTCTGCTGGATGCACGTGCGACAACCAGTCAGAGAGCACGCACACTGCGTGACCACTAGATTTTGAAAGGGAGAGAAGCGAGGAACCGGCTACATAATGGAGGACAGTCCCGGATAATGGAGTCATAGTAACGAGGGGGAAGTGAACCCAAGACACAATAAAAGGTAGGACAAGAGGGTCCTGATCTGGCGGTTGTATAGTGTAAAAACACAACAAAACAGAATTTAAATCTGGTTTGAAATACATGTAACGAGCAGGAACAAGAGATCAAAGGGCATGGTACGAAGGTCGGAAGTTACAGAAAACAGATAAGTATAAATGTATACATGTAAATGTGTATATTAAATATAAATGTAAAAAAACACTAACTATCAACAGGTTTAGGATCTTGCACCAGGGAGATAGCATCTGAGACTCCTGATGGCTGTGGACTGTTCAATCCCTGTCGAAACAGGGCCATTCTGAGTGGAGTTTGCATGTTCTCCCCGTGTCAGCGTAGATTTCTTCCAGGTGTTCTGGTTTTCCCTACCACTAAAAACATGTACAATAGGAACATGCTCCCATCTCTGCGTGGAGTGAGAGACAAATGGCCACAATTGTAAAGCGCTTAGTGACTCTGGTCTGTGAAATGTGCTACATAAATAAACATTACTAACTCACATGAGGCTATTTTGGGTTTTTTGATGAACAAAAAACAGCAACAATAAAAACATGTAAAGTTCTTCGCAATAAAAGTTTTAAGTGTAAATCGAGTGCGGAGAATCTTTCTAAACCTGTGTTCACACCGGACTGAACATTGACTTAAAAAGTTTCAGGTTTACATTGAAAATGAATGGTGACGCGCGTCAGAGGCCCGGCATCACTTGGCCGCGTAACAGTTGCGTCATTTTTGGCGCCAAAAATTCCTTCACGCTGAAGTTGAGAAAAGCTGAGCTTTTCGAGCTTCATACCGGGCGTCAACCAATCAGGAGATGAGGAGGAAAAGCAGCATGTAGCTGTTCTTGTTAACGTTCTTAATAAGTAAGTAACAAAATCAATGTACACATGCTGTAAAGTAAAAGTAATTTATTCAATATAAGAACAAGCTGACGCGGAGTCTGGCTCCGACACAGCAGACAGATACAGGCGCTCCTCCGCAGGAATCGAGTGCCTGTAGTTGGTGTCCAGGCGCCTGTAGTTGGTGTCCAGGCGCCTGTAGTTGGTGTCCAGGCGCCTGTAGTTGGTGTCCAGGCGCCTGTAGTTGGTGTCCAGGCGGGCGATGCAGGGTGTGGGCACTCAAACTGTGCAAGTGACATGCGGAAGTACCACTGAAAGTGAAACTCATCCGTACACAGCTCCCGGAGGAAATGTTGCCTCTCAAGTCTGTGGTGAACCCAGAACACGTTGTGTAGAAGCAACAATGACGTTGTTTGGCTTTATATAATAACTAAAGGCTGCTCTCTGGAAATCCGCCATTGTCTATGGACTACCGGCAACAGAGAAGCTCCTCCCACAAAATCAAGCACGTCTGGCGCGTCAAGCACAAAATGACAAAAATAAATCAGCGCCAAACAATGCGCGTCATGGGGTTTTGAAGCTTTTGGTGTGAACACAGCTTTACAGCTGTTGTAAATGAGACACATGCAGGTATTAGTTTACTGTAAACCAGATCCTCAGTAGAATCTTACACAATAGTCACGTTTCCACCGCAGGAACTTCGGGGTCATTTCGCAGTGTCCCCACTGCAGGAACCTCCACAGGGCCATTTACAGGAGCTTTTATGAGGCCCAACAAAGTACCTCCTGCACGCTAGGTACAGCTCCTGGGCCTTGAGGGGAACCCGGTGCTGATTGGCTAAAGCTAGAGCAGGCTCTGACGCCATTAGAAAGCACCAAAACAAATGGCATATTTAAATCACCGGCATTGGCCCAGCACCATAAGCCTATCCCTAGCCTAGCAGCATTACTGTTCGCCGGACACGGCTTGAGTTTCACTGGAGTTCAGCAGTGGTTTACACGAGTTTCCCAAATAATGCTCAAACTGGAATTAAACTGTGAGGATACTGGGCATTTTTGGGACACAGCAGTGCTCTTTGATTGTGCTGTCATTGTGTTTTTATAAAGTTTACAAATCTCTCTGAGTGGCCACAGTCAAAGCTCTACCTCAGAGAGAAAGCACAGCGACACTTATGGGTCAGTCTCACAGCTAAATGTATCAATCTAATTACTAAAAAACGTCACTAAAACCAACCTAAAAGCCATAGGATAGCATAGGCAGGAAGTGAACGGGCTTTGCTTTGTCAACAGGAAATGACGTCACGCCTCCCCGTGCATATAGCCCATAACAGCAAAGTCAGCACTAGATCGTATACGGAATCGGGACGGAAGTGGAAGTAAATATAACAAACTACCTATTCATGTCTAAACTTAACCAGCCATTCCCATAAAATAACCCCAACCCACCCTTAACCCTAACCTTAACCATCTTACTCAGACACCTAAAACTTAACCAGTCACCACTTAAGGACTTATTAGTCTAAAACTAATTCGAAAGTAGGATTGTTACTTCCGGTTTCGTCCTGATTCCGTATATGATCTAGTGCCGACCATAACAGCTAGCAGACCCGCGTTTTAGACGAAGGGTAGGACATCATTAATTAACGTTAACCAAACGCAATGCTATTTTATGTACAATACGGACTTTGCAGGGACTGAGAATGGGGACAAACATGTCTTTGTGAGCTTTTGATAATGTCTTGGTTGCATTGTATGCAAAACTCAGCGTGAGATGAAAGAGCCAATCAACGAGAGCAAACGGAAGAAACTGGCTGAAGAAAGGTGTGGTCTAGTGTGTTAGCGCATCTTATATTCATTTATCAAAGCTAGCCTAGCATGCACGCACAATCACGATCATGGATTGTTAATTATGGAAGAAGGAGCACAATTTGCAATTGATAACGGAGTAAAAAATAAATGGAGGCGGGCATGGCTTGATGAGGTGGGAGACGATGGGGTTCCGCTGGTGACTGGTGTTTGTGCGTACTTTGCCATTAAAAAACTGTATATGGGAGTAATGGGAAAACCCTTCTGATTTGCCACCAGCTCGAAACTGCGCACGAGGCAGCTGTTCATGCACTTTCCCACACTACATCTTTACCTGGTGCATCGGCGACAACTGAGACAAGCCTTGCTATGGCGGACCGTGTCTGTGACCTAAAACTAAGGGTGTATTCAGACCTGAAAAGTCCTGTGCTCCGCTTGCTTGATCCGAATCAAAAGCGGACCAAACTTTTTTCTTTTGCTCCGGTTCGTATTCAGACTGTCCTTTTTGCAAGTGAACTTTTTTTTATAAACATATTGACACGTATGACGATCGGCGCTCCTATTGGACAGCCTGAGCTCACGGAGGATAGACGTCGGAGAATGAGTGAGGAGAAAGCCGAAGGAGACTGTCTGTGCGCTCCGTGCCCTGTCCCACACATGGATCTATGATAATAACTCTGTTCCACAACTTACTGACAGCAGCATGTGGATAAACCATGGATCTATAATAACAACGGGATAAACAGACGCAGAGGATCAGGTAGGAACCAAAGAACACAATTCACTACATGATGCGGAATAATGCTCTTTGAGACGTGAGTCAAACAGTGTCAGGCTTTTAATAATGCAAATGGTTTGAAGATGCTGCCATTAACATCCCTGTATACTGTGAACAGTTGTAACTCCATAAGCCTGTTGCACAGTGTCTCCTCACTGCTCCGGGTCTGCACACGGCTCAGTGTTGTTGTGTAGCGTTCGCAGCATAGTT